TGTCCTCAACAGATATGGCTAGGGTCAAGTCTAAGCCAGTGGCCTGAAGCTTCATCTGGGTACAGAGCCCAAGCACTTGAACCATTCTGCTGCTTTCCCAGGCACATTAGCAGCGATCTGGCTCTGAAGTGCAACATGTGAGTCTTGAACTGCTACACATGTGGGGTGATGGACTTGCAGGTGGCAGCTTAACCTGATATGCCACAATACTGTCCTCCCAGGCGACTTTTTTTTATTTTACAAGATTTATCTGTTGGAGAAATGAAAGTATGTCCAGCGGTTCTGCACCCAGCTGGTAATTAATCATGTTTTTGAGAGGCATTTTGATTTCTGTGTATCTATATCCATGTAATTAGTTAACAATGTGTGGGAATCAACTGTGTATTTTTAGAAAAAATTACTTATTTATTTTTGAAAAGCAGATTTACAGAGAAGGATGTACAGAAAGAAAAAGTTTTCATATGCCGGTTTGCTCCCCAAATTGCTGCAACGGCTGGAGCTGGGCCACTCCGAAGCCAGGAGCTTCTTATGGGTCTCCTACATGGGTGCAAGAGTCCTAAGGACTTAGATTGTCCTCTGTTGCTTTCCCAGGCCACAAGCAGGGAGCTGGCTGGGAAATGGGGCAGCCGGGACATGAACTGGTGCCCATACGGGGTGCTGGTGCTTTGAGGTGGACGCTTAGCAGTTGAGCCATTATGCCAGCCACTTAACTATGTTTTAGAAATGCAAACTTTTGAATGTTCTGTATTATTGATTTCCCATGTTAGACTAAACCTGGAGATTTATTGTATTTCAGTTTTATATATATATAAAACCGATTCCCCTCACCACCTCTACGGGGCCTGCTCTCATTTAACAATGTTATTTCCTCTGCGGAGGCCAGCTCTGAGTTTGCTCAGGAAAGCTGGTATCTGGTCCTGTGTTGGTGTGGGCTGATGACAGCCCTGGGGTCTGTGGTGCCGTGCTGGCTGCAGTGCATCCTCGAGCAGCCATGAAGCCAGCCTGCCCTCCAGAGGCTCTTTCCCTGCAGCTGTACATGTGATTGTACTAGCCATGTGAGCACCTGTGTTTCCTGCAGTTCAGCCCAGGGCCCCTAAATCCCACAGCGTAGATTCAGAGTCTAGGGGGCAGTGGCTATTCTCAGGGGCTTGCAATTCACTCCTCCTTTTCTTTGTTATTTTTCCACCCCCTCACAACTCCTTCTTTTGTAGAAGGATCAACATATAGCTCACTGGGCTGTACCTGTCCAGAAAAATGAAATCTGATCTGCTAACAGGTGTCACATTTTTGTATAATCGCAAACTACCTGTGTTTTTATATTTATTTATTTTTTCCTGGATACAGGTGTTGATGTTGAGGTTTAAAAGGGAAAAATGCTTTGGGTGGGGCTGTTGTGGTTCTTGCAACTAAGGCCTCTAATGGAGAGAGAGCATCCTTTTAGCTGAGATATTTCACTTGTGCTTGTGGGTTTTCTGGTGGTAGCTGCACCTGATTAGTCCATTCCAAATTCACAGTAAATTCATGGAGCTTAAGTCTTTGATACATCTTCTGTGTATTTTGAGGGCCTTTTTTGAATAATTGGCTATAAACATCGCTCTATTTGCATTGGAAGCTTCCCTTCTCTCTCTCTCTCTCTTTTTTTGGGGGGGGCTAGGGGCTTTCTTTTTGCATAAAAGTTAATATACAGGTTGAGTATCCCTAATCCAAAACACTGAAATTAGAAGTGCTAGAAAATCCACGACTTTTTTATTTTTGAGCACTGACAAGACATTAAGTGGAAAATTCTGCACCTGACCTTGTCTTAGGGGAAGGAGTCAAAGCACAGTTGCATTGAAAATACTGTAAAGAGTTTCCTTCAGGCTATTTGAATAAGGAGTGTACGAAACACGAGTGGATACCATATTTACACTGAAGGCTTATATCCACAATATCTCATGTATATAGAAATATTCTGAAATCCCCACCACCCCCAAATATATATATATTTTTTAGTCCCAGGTATTTCAGATAAAGAATGTATAACCAGTGGAGAATTCTGTATGGTTTGAACGATTTTATTTATTTTTGAAGATTTATTTTTATTTGAAAGGCAGAGTTATGGAAACATGGAGAGACAGAAAGGGAGGTCTTCTATCCATTGGTTCACTCCTCAGATGTCCATAACAGCTGAAACTTGGCTGATCTGAAGCCAGGTGCCAGGAGCGTTTTAGAGTCTCCAATATGGGTCCAGGGGTCCATGGCTTTGGACCATCCTCAGTCAAGGGAGCTGTTTCAAAAGTGGAGCACCTGGAACTTGAACTGACACCCATATGGGATGCCAGTGTGGCAGGTGAAATATTAGTTCACTATGTCTTTTTGTGTGTTTTTAGAATTCAGAAGTTCATCCTGTGCCATTGCATTTAGGATCTCAGTTTTCTAAGTTTACATTATTAGCAGGTCCTTTCTAGGTAAAATGTTCATCAGGACAGACACTGGTTACTCTGAGCGAGTGAGCAGTTTTTGTGCAACTATTTAAGGATAAAACACTGTGTGTTTGCTCAAGTGTCCTTACTCTACGGGTCATGTTGTAACTGACAGCAGTGGTGCCTGCTGTGCAGCTATGATGAGCATGGTGTTTCCAGGGTAGGTAGTATAACTTGATCTTTTCTTTCAAATTTGTGCTTGAGACTGCCTTGATTAAAAAAAAAATAATAATAAGATGCTGTTGAGAACTAATGTTTCATTTCCTTTAACCTTTGTCGTGTTTTCTAGCTATTGATGGAGATAATGTTCCTTCTAAAGCATAGTTCTTTTTTATATTTATTTTTATTGGAAAGGCAGATTTATGGAAAGAAGCAGAGGCAGAAAGAAAGATTGTCGCCGGTTCACTCCTTAAATGGCTGCAGTGGCTGGAGTTAAGCTGATCCAAAGCCAGGAACCAGGTCTTTCACATGGGTGCAGGGTCATTCTCCACTGCTTTTCCAGGCCACAAGCAAGGAGGTTGATGGGAAGTGGAACAGCCAGTGCATGAACTGGTGCCCTTATGTGATCCTGGCACTTGCAAGGCAAGGATTGGCTAATAGAATCATCTTGCTGGGCCCTTAAAGCATAGTTCTAATGCCTGACCAGTGTCTGCTTTTAAACTAGCAGCCAAGAATGTTACCAAGCCAACTTAGATGCAGAGGGTGCTATTCAAGCAGATTGTTTCCTTTTAGTACTTGTTGCTTCAAAAAATAAAAATGAAATTTTTTTTGCAACTAGTAGATACATTGTAGAGCATTGCTGGCTACCTTCACTCAATCTTAGCCAAAAGGCTGAGAACAGATGCTGGCTGTCTTACGTGATGTGAATCCACATTTTTATTTTTAAGATTTATTTTTATTATTTTTTATTGGAAAGGCAGATATACAGAGAGGAGAGACAGAGAGGAAGATCTTCCATCCGATGATTCACTCCCCAAGTGAGCAAAACGGGCCGATACTATGCCGATCCGAAGCCAGGAGCCTCTTCCAGGTCTCCCACAGGGTGCAGGTTCCCAAAGCTTTGGGCCGTCCTCGACTGTTTTCCTGGGCCACAGGCAGGGAGCTGGAAGGGAAGCGGGGCTGCTGGGATAAGAACCGGCGCCCATATGGGATCCTGGGCATGCAAGGTGAGGACCTTAACCACTGCGCCACCGCGCCGGGCCTGAATCCACATATTTTGAATGTGATGTCAACAAGTGATTTAACAAACTGACTTACAAGATGTCCCTTTGGTGTGTCTTTGGACTATTCTAGATTATGGTAAGTAGAAGCCAATGCACAGGGACCAACTCTAAGACCACCATAACTTATAAATCTAACCATGTATTTTTTAAGCTTCTCATTTTCAGTGTGGCACTTTTTCTACCTCTATTTTTAACCCTAGTTCTTTCTTTTTTTTTTTTTATTCAGGTTTTATCTGTATTGGATTTTTTTAAAAAAAACGATGTGTGTATTTGTTTGAAAGGCAAAGTTACCATGAAAGGGAAAGAAAATGAGATTTTTCATCTGCTGGGTCATAAAGGCTGGTGCTGAGCTAGGATGAAGCCAGGAGTTATGAGCTTTAGCTTTGACATGGGCCCAAACATTTGGGTCATTTTCTGGTGCTTTTTTTCTAGGTTTCTAGCAGGGAGCTAAATCAGAGGTGAAGCAGCCAGGACACGAATTGGTGCCCTACAGGACGCTGATGTCACTGGGAGCAGCTTTACTGGCTATACCGCAACACTGGCCCCAGGATTAGTTTTGTCTCTGCAAGACAATGAGGTGCAAAGTCTATGAACTTTGGAAGAAAGACTGAGTTGTCCTTTAGGCAGCGATGCTTTTATTAGGATATTTTTTCTACCAGGAGCTCTTCAAAAAGTTCATGGAAAGTTTGTATTATGAGGAAACTATGCATTAATTTTATTGTTGAAATAAAATAAACTTTTTAATTGAATTTGTCATGAGCTTTTTGAAATAATCTCATATTTTTAAAATTTAAAGAGGCTTTATAATTATTTTATTTGATAGGTGGAAAGAGAAAAAGATCAAAAGATTTGATTCATTCCCCAAATGCCTGCAACGAACAGCCAGAGCTAGGCTCCGTGATAGACAGGAACCTGGAACTCAATCCAGGTTTTCCACTCGGGTGTCAGGGATCCATGTGCCGGAGCCATCACTGCTGCCCTCAAGTGTGCATTAGCAGGGAGCTGGAATTGGAAGCAGAGCCGGGGTTTGAACCCACACACTCCTATGTGGAATGCAGGCATCCTTAGCAGCATCTAGATCAGTAGGCCATGCCCATGCCACTTCTCTTTCTTGAAGACACCTACATTTTCTGATAAAGCCTTTATGATGTGATGGCTTTATGGCAAAAATGATGGGGAACTTAGAGTTCAGAATTGAACAAGCATTGAACCCAAGCTCCCTGGCGTCCTTAGTAAAAGAGGTAACTGTTGTGGTAAAGGCAGATACCATGCTGATTGCCGATGTTATTATTTCCACTTTCTGTAATTATTGTAGGATGTGCTCAGTGCTGTAAAAGCAAAAGAAGCTCTTGAAAAGGAAGTTAAAATCCTGGAAGAAAGGCTGCGTGCGGGCCAGCGGGCCTGGGAGGCCTCGAGGCAGGAGCTGAGCGCCCTGAAGAAAAGCTCCTGCGAGTTGGAGAAGAGTCTGGAGGCAGCCACTGCCTCGCAGAGGCAGCATGCCTCATTTCGGGAGAAAATGGCAGCCAGCATGGGCGTCACTGGGTCCACAGAGGACGCCCTCTTGGAGAGGATTCGAGAGATGGGCAGCCGGGAAGTCACCAGCAAAAGGGTGAGACGGAGACCTCTCCTCGGCTTCTTCTTTCTTTCTTTTTTTTTTAAGATTTACTTATTTTTATTACAAAGTCAGATATACAGAGAGGAGAGACAGAGAGGAAGATCTTTCGTCTGATGATTTACTCCCCAAGTGAGTGCAAGGGCTGGAGCTGAGCCCATCAGAAGCCAGGATCCGGGAACTTCCTCCAGGTCTCCCACACAGGTGCAGGGTCCCAAGGCTTTGGGCCATCCTCGACTGCTTTCCCAGGCCACAGGCAGGGAGCTGGATGGGAAGTGGAGCTGCCAGGATTAGAACCAGCGCCCATATGGGATCCCGGCGCGTTCAAGGCGAGGATTTAAGCCACTAGGCCATTGTGCCAGACCCCTCCTTGGTTTCTTAAAGAACCACAGACACAGTTACTGCAGTGTCTGCATTAGCTGGAAGTTGTAACCCTGTCTATCACAGTTATTTGCTGTCACTATAGTAATAATAACAACAGCAACAACAACAATAATGACAATAAATTGTGCACTTGTGAAGAAATGGGTTGGTTTAGTTCAGTTTTGAAGATCCCAGAGCTTTGGCAGTGCTCTGGCAAAGAGCTCCTGGCAGATGGTGCCACGATGGTGGGAGCCGGGGAGAGCAGACGTCTGCTTTTGTTCTTTTCTAACAGCTGTTTCCCCACTCTTTTGGGAACTAACTCACACCTAGGATCAGCATTAGTCCCTTCCAAGGGCCATACCCTCATTAGCCTGGTTACCTCCTGCTGAGTGGTTAAGGGTTCACCACCTGTTAACATTGCCCCACTGGGAACCAAGCTTTTAGCACCTGCACTATGGAAGGACCCACTCCAACCATATCCAGTCTTTAGCATTAAGAACTCAGAAAGGGCCAAGTTGACTTTGATGTAGGTTCTGTGGTCAGAGCTACCCCAGCACTGCATTCAGTCTGAACTGCATAGCTAGTTGCTTGCAGTGTGACCTGGGCAGCTTCTTGAGGTCACAGCCTGCCTGAGACGTCTCATCTCATAGACAGCTAGTGTTTAGGTTCGCAACCACCTTTCTGAGACCCATGACACTCAATGGGTGGTTTTTAAAAACATTTATTATTTATCATTATTAATTTACTTTATCTGAAAGGCACAGAGAGAAAGACAGACACAGACACAAGAGACCTCTCCTCTGCTGATTCACTCTCACTTGTCCACAATAGCCAGAGCTTGGCCAAGCTGAAGCCAAGAGCCAAGAACTCTCCATCCAGGTCTGCCATGTGGGTGGCAGGGAGGTGAGCACTTGGACCACTACCTGCTGTCTACGAGGCTGCGCATTAGCAGGGAGCTGGAGTCAGGAGCTCCAGCAGAACTTGAATGTCGGCATCTCTAGCAATGTCCTTACTGTTGTGCAAGATATCCACCCTTGAATTTGAATTCAAAGCCTTTCAGGATTTCAAGAGGGAAGACGGCGTCTGGGAAGAGGTTACAGAAAGTTGCCTTGCGGGGTCTTGGCAGTAGGTTAGGTACTGACCCTGTCAGGAGGGCACTGGTGGCTCTTCAAGAAAGCCTGGGGCAGCTCTGAGTGCGATGAAGAGCCCGTGGCCCTTAGGTCAGGATTTGCTGCCCAGATGGGTCAGGTCAGGCCAGATTTTACCCAGTGAGTTACAAAAAAAAAAAAAAAAATCAAAAAAGAATCTTTTTTTCAATTTTGGAATTGCAAATACAGACTTTTAGAGCATCTTCCAAATAAGTTACTGTTATTGCAAGCATTAGATGAAAAAAAAGTCCTTAGTGTATTGTCTGCAAATCACAACCATAAATATTAACTTGCTGCTGTTGCCTCTCCTGTCCCTCCTCCTCCCGCCTCTCTCCTCTGAACTACGCAGTAGTACCCAAGACAGTGTTTTAGGGGCAGTTCATCAAATGAATAAATGCGTTTTAATTCAAACATGATTGAGGCTTGTTGAATTTTTTCATCTTTATACTATCAGCGACTGTTATTTTCCATGAAGGTTTATTTAACACTCTCAATTTTAGCCCAGTGTCAGTTTCAATTACTGTCAAATTCAGGCAATTGAAGTCTTAATTATGATACTCGAAGGTAAATGACAACCAACTTGCATATGTAATTGCATTATGAACTATTTATTCTACTGATGTCATGTTATCAAAAATGAGAAAATGCATTTTTTCTTCATAATTGTTTTTAAAGTTAAGAGAGAGATGGGGCAGGGGGTGAGAGAGAACTTAAAACTTTTATCCACTGGTTTACTCCTCAAATGCCTACAGTGGTCAGAGCTAGGCCATAGAGGAAGGCCGGGAGCCAAGAACTTGATCCAGGCTTCCCACAGACTCACTGAAGCCATTACCTGCTGTGTCTCGGGGTCTGCATTAGTAGGAAGCTGGAGTCAAGAAATGGAGTTGGGAACTGAACCCAACTCTGATGTGAGATGCAGGTGTCTTAAAGAGGCTAAATGCCCACTCATGTCTTCTAATGTTACTGAAGAACCCAAAGGGCTCATTCTCTCAAAGTTCAGGCTGTATTTGTAAATTTTTTCTAGCAAACACACAAAAAAGTTAAATTTCCTTCAACAATTTTCCAAAGTTCACCCATGCCCTGGGAGCAGTCCTTACGGCCCAAGAGCAGTTCCAGAAGCTTCGTGCACAGGTGCTCGGGGCTGCCGTCTCTGGGGTGCACATGCAGAGCACCTCGAGTGTTCTCGGAGAGCAAGTCAAATGTCCTTGTGATTCAGTCTACATTGGTTGCTCGAAGACTGAGAGAAGCTTCATTAATATATTCACCCTGAGTGATAACGGATACAGGAGCTTATGGCTTTTGCCATTTCATTTTATTGCTTCTCCCTTTTTATTATATTTCCATTTTTCCCCTAAAATGATTTTAATGCCAGCATGTGATGCTTGGCATACAATTGCCAGCACGATGTGTATGTTTATTTTCTAAAGTAAAGTGATGCAAATTGGGGAAGCTGGATATGCCCTCCGTTATTCTCCATAAACACGAGAGTGATTCAGCGTCTTTTTAGTGCCTTTATCTGTCTTTCCTACCCTGTAATTTTTTTCAATAGCCGCTCTTCCTGTTTAAAAGCCTGAAATCAAGCATATAGCTGTGTCTTGGGTGACTCATTTTCAAGTAAAATCAGGAGAAAATGGATTTTTGTATATTGTCTTAGGAATGTTTTTAAAGAATGAAAGCATTACAGATTGATGAAGCTGTTTGTTGAGGAGACCATACAGCCTGCCAGCTGCTGTGGCTACAGTTCAGTCCCCAGATGAGCAAAGCCCGTGTGAAGGCCCACCGGCCTGTTCAGGATTGGCCCCGGGCCCCCCAAGCCCATTTCTCCACTACTGGTCCACTTCTGTCCGCTGCATGCTGCTTTGTTGACCTCTGGGCTGCCCACTTTCCCTCTCTTGCATTTGCAGTTCTCAGTGGAACTGAGGGTACCTCCCAGCAAGTGGGTTTTATTTGTTGATTGCTTTCTGCTTCTGCTAGAATTCAATCTGCTTTAAAAAAAAAAGCTTTATTAGATCTTACAGTAGGGATTCTTAGCCTTGGCATGACTGGCACTTTGCACTTGGCTCGTGGGTAACAACAGACTGCCCTGAGCACTGGAGGACATGTAACAGCACCCTGGTGTCTCCCCAGCGGACACTAGTAACACCTCCGCCCTCCCCCCTCTCCCCCCAGTATGTGACAACTACAGGTTGTCTCTAGATTGTCAAGTGTCTTCTGGCTGCAGAATCACCCCAAGATGGAAAACTGTTGCTTAGAAGGATGTTCTGCTGGACAGTTCCTAGGAATTCTAGATAAGTATCAAGTGTTATTTAGCTATAAAATTTCAGGACACATGTGGCAGATGTTTATGAAATTAGGGTTTCCTGTGATGACAGAATGTTGTAACATTTTAATGTTTTTATTTGTGAAAGATTTATTGATTTATTTCAGAGAGAGGAGGGCGAGAGAGACTGTTGCCAATGTCTACAGCAGTCTTGGGCTGGGACCAAAGGTGGGAGCTGGAAATGTACTCCAGGTTTGCCAGGGGAGTGGGCAGAACGCCATCACTTCAGCCATCACCACTGCCTCCCAGGATCCATGTTAGTGGGAAGCTGGAGGCAAGAGGCAGAGGTGGATACTGAACCCAGACACTGATAGTAGTGTGGGCATCTAAACCACTGCATCAAAGGGTGGCCACTCTCCATTCATTCTTCTTCATTCCTGCTTCTAGATATTTCCTGACTGACTCATCATCTGAATTAGAACAGATTATGTACAGAGAGAATGTGACCGTGACCAATCTGTGTCCTTTCCTAAATTAAAAACAGATCAGTTATGAGCTCAGAAACATCTATCTGGACATCCTATTTTCTCCATAGGACTCTTTCTTTGTCCGGTGGTCCTGAAAGAGCAGTGGGATCTCAGCCTGATACTTGGGACCTGCAGTGGGTTCCCTTGATTGGCTGTGCAGCCCCATCCTCACCCTCCTGTTCTTTTCTGGATCTCTCCACCTGCAGAAGCTAACAGTTGCCCAGAGGAGGCAGCATGGTTCCACTAACATTTGCTTGTGCCATGTTGTGTTCCCACTGTCACTGTTGGCTACCAGGGTGTCTGGGAGAATGAATGGAGAAGAGGCTCATACGCTTTCCCAGCCTGTCTCATATTGCTTCCCCAGGGCTGCAGCTTCAGAGTACACTGACAAGGAGGGAGGCTTAAACCATAGACATTTCTTGCCTCTCAGTTCTGGAAGTTAGAGGGCTGAAGTTAGTGGTTTGGCAGAGTTGGTTCCTTCTGCAGACCTCAAAGGAGACCATACTCCACATGTCTCCCTGCCTTCTGGTAGCCTTGGGCACCATGTGGCACCTGCACACTGCCATCCTTCTGTCTTCGCATCATCTCCCCTCCATGTCATCTTTTTTTTTTTTTTGGTTTAACTTCTTAAAAAAAAAGATTTATTTTATTTTTATTTGGAAGACAGATTTATAGAGAGGGAAGAAAAGACAGAGACGG